ACTTAAATTGCATACTTTTGGGATTTTTTTTTTTTAAAAAAAGAGGATTTTTTTTTTTTTTTTTTTTTTCCACCAAAGCCTAGCACTAAGAAACACTCCAGTTCAGGATGCTTTCATTTCCCTATGTATTCTGGATACTTCCTTAGTTAGCAAGGTGTCCATTTACATGCAACATGGACAATTTTATCTTTATTTTTATTTTTTTTAACATCTTTATTGGAGTAAAATTGCTCTGCACTGGTGTGTTAGTTTCTGTTGTATAACAAAGTGAATCAGCTATATGTATACATACATCCTCATATCTCCTCCCTCTTGTGTCTCCCTCCCACCCACCCTTGCCCATTCCCTCCAGGCGGTCACAAAGCACCGAGCTGATCTCCCTGTGCGATGCACCTGCTTCCCACTAGCTATCTAGTTTACATTTGGTAGTGCATTTATGTCCATGCCACTTTCTCACTTGAAACACGGACAATTTTAACTAAAAAGTATCCAGACATAGATTTCATTAAGGTCTTCATTAACATATAATAAAAGGTATAGTCAGTATTTTAAATTTGTTTTACTTCACACTGGAGACCTAGTATGTTCTTATAAGGAACAGAACTAATAAGTTCTCTTGTTTGCTTTTTGTGGCTTCAGACGATTTCATGAATGCATCAGTTAATATCAACAAACCCACTGTGGACGAACAAGGCCTTTTTTATTCCTAGAAGCTCAACACCTTAGAAAATTTTTACTCTTGTATTCAAGGCTAGATTTTTTTTTTTTCTTTAAAGAGACATAATTAGGCCATTCAAAGATCCTGTTAAGTACAGGTTAAACTTCAGTCAAATAGCACTACTGGAATGAAATCAATGAATAGATGTTGCTTTTCCCTGAAACGAACAGAGATGACCTTTGGAAACCTGCTACATGGGTTGTTCTGGCAAAAGAAACAAGCTGGTGACTAAGTGAGAGGCACATTCAGAGCTTCCCACACACTGTTCAACTCACAGTGCAGCGATTCTGATTAGTAGGAAGGAGAAAGGAAGACAGAAGGCCAGAAGGCCAGAGAGCTGCCAGGTGGACCCACCAACAGATGCACCTCAGAGACGGGGCTTCTGAGTGTCCCGTCACTCACACACGTTAGAATTATCACAGAGGCGCAAAATCTAAACTTCCAATTCAAATCGCTGCTTTGAAGCCTGGGATAATCAGTTGTCTTCCCCTTGCTGGCTAGAAAAGCCTCCTGTTTACTCAGTTTACACAGTTTATCCCACCGTGAATCATAGATATTCATTTGTTCTCTACACATAAGAAGTGTTTTAAGAATGTCAGATGACTGCTCTCTTCTGGGTTTTCCACTTTTCTCCTTTCAAAGTGGCCATTATTGCTTGTGGGGTAGGGGAAGGAGTTAGAAACCAAACTGTTAAACCAACAGAATGCTTTGTTATCAGTGGCACAATCTTGGAGACATTTAACTCTGATAATTTAAGGAAAATAATCTTAATCTTCAGATGAATGTATTTTTGATTTTTATTCATACTACTGCTGCTATGCAACCCACAAACATACCAAGTTCTGCTTACTACAGGCCCTGCAGAGTTATCCATGTCCTTGACAAGAGATCTAGTTCTCGCTGAGGAGCTTCTGACAAATAGCGGAACAATGCAACAACTGGGAACTTCAATCTGTGCTCCACAAAGCAAACTGGCAAACAAACTTACCAATGTTTTAATCACAGTTTAAGAAGATGACAGATTTTTATTTTGGCGACAATCTAGCACTCAAGAAGTATTGCCGACGATTTAGAAGAGAACAAATTTGTTGGACCAAAGAGACAGGGAAAGTCTTCAAACAACTATAACTGCTCTTGTATTTTCACCCTTTTGGAATGTCTTAAGGAATAGAATTTAAAAATATGTAGTTTACACATTGCATAAAGCACTCCTTTATCCTATGACATTCTTAATAGGGTACATGTTTCATCGACTGTTTTATAGATTCTTTACACTGTAAAGACAATTTTTGCTTTGATGGAAAACTATGTGTTGTTTAGGGAACACTCTTCCAGGTTCTCAGTTCCTGCTTTTATGGGGCGGGCTCTGCACCTTTCAGGCCTTTGAGCTATTTTAGGACTATGTAAGTTGTAGCAGCAATGAAAAATAATTCTTGTCTACGGACCTGTAAGTACATTCTGTCTGGTGCGGGTTCCTCTGACTTTCCTCTTTCACTGTGGAAGAAGCCAGGTGTGCCTCTGTTTGAACATTCATTTGAATACTTAAAAGTTTAAATAAAATCTCGAGGACATGTTTATTTTCCACCTGTATGAGAGTCGTGATTTTACTTTTATTTGTTTGGAAAACTATCCTTTAACAACAATATAAAGGAAAAAGAGTTTTATGAGTGGAAAGTTTTGAAATTCAGGGTCTATAGTCTCTGATCTCAGAGACGGTTACCACTCTTCTCTTTTTCCCTTTTTGTACCATAATTTTACTTTTCTTTCATTCAGCTAGTATTTTTTTTTTTTAAACCTCAGATAAACTTTTTGACGAGTGGCCAAACAATGCAACCATTTGTACTTTAAAGCTGTGCTCCACAGTTAAAAAGAACAAGCCCATGAACATTTTAATCACGGTTAAAAAATTACTTGTCTTTAGTGTGACAACAGTCTAGCATGCAAGAAATACTACTGATGATTTGTTAGAGAACTTAACTTTGTTGGACTTAACAGGGGAAACTCTTTAGATAATTATAAGCGCTGTACATTTTCACTTAACTCCCTTTTGGAAGTTCATCGTTTTATTGGGACCACCCATGGGAATCCCTACACTACATTCAAAGGAAACATCTCACGGCATCCAATAAACACAAGCAGGCGCTCACACTCACCGTGCCCCACCAGAGCGCGTCCGCGTAGGTGGAGAATTCCTTATTGGCGTCCTTTTCCACCAGGTAGACAAGGAAAGACGAAAAAATCAGAACCAAAAATCCTATGTACCAAGCTGTGATTAATTCCTAGATATAAAAGGAATGAGAGATTTTTAGAGGTGAAAAATCTTTGAAAAAGGAAAAAAAAAATACAAGCATGATTCCATACGTTTGACTACTACTTGGATATTTATGATGACTTTCACATAATCCACTACACCTTGTGTCCCACATTGCTTTAACCAATTACTGAAAAGATTAAGTTTGCTTTCGATGGGTTTAGTAAATATCACGGCAGCAAGGGAAGAAGAACACCCTGCCCGCACCTGGGCGAGGGCCCCCCCACCTTGCTGTGCGCGTAGACCACGGAGCCCAGCAGCTTCCAGGTGCCGCCGCGCCTGTCCATGCGCACCATGCGCAGGATCTGCAGGAAGCGCAGGCTGCGCAGCGCCGACGTGGCGAAGATGTTACCCTGAGTTTTGGCAGAAACTACCGCTATGGAGGCGATGAGAACGATGGTATCTGAAAGAAAGAGGGTGAAGCAGCCGTAAGTAGCACGACCGGGAGGTTTTAGTTTCCAACACAGGATTTCAGAAAGGGTCCCTTTGACCTGTTTGGGGCCCAGGGAACTGCTCTTGAGCCCCAGGCCGGCGCGCGCCACGCGGGCTCTGTGATCGCTGAGGAGTGGAAGGCGGAGGACGTGGCCTCCTGCGCCTGCTGCCCCGGGTCTGACCCTCGGCCGTTCTCTGCTTTAGCCACGCAGGTTTGTACCACTCGCCGTTTGACCTTCAAAGGCCTGGACACCGCCTTCGGAAGGTCCGGTGCTCCGAGGGCTTCGGGCTGGCGCAGCGTCCGCACGGCAGTCCTGGCGGCACGGGTGGTCCTGCCTGTAGGAAGGGGCTTCTGCCTCTGCCCCAGCACCGCGGCCTGCTGGCTGATGCCACAGAGGGTACACAGCCTGTCCAGATGCGAAAGGGCTACTTCGCGTAATCATGTCTCCTGTTTTCTTGCCGGAGAAGCTCGTAGCTCCGTTCTGCAGAAAATTCACTTGTGTTGTGGAGTCTGCACCTTTGCAGCCTCTTAGACAAAGGCCCCAACTGAGCGGACTGTTCTAAGCGTTCTGCTCTGCATGCTCTGTAGGGCGCCAGTCAGTTCTGGGTAAGTTCTGTACACAAGTTAATTAACATTCCATTTGTTACAATAGAGGAGGTGATCACACACACCACGCACTGCATGGGAATGGATATTTAATGTTTGACATATTGAAGTTTGGCTTAAATCATATCTGCCCTTTTGTCTGCGAAAAAGAGAAAAAGAGCAGCTAAGGAGAGCATAGAAAAGATGAATGACTTAATCGCTCGAAGGGTAAAATCTGAGTGAGGGAAGGTAGGCTTTGAAGTGGGAGAGGTGAAGTGGGATGAATGGCTTCCAATGGAGATTTTACAGTAGGTTAGCTTGACCTGATCATCCTCAGTAAGATGTCCTTCCTGCTGCGAGTGGGCTGTGCATGACCAGGTGGCCACACTCCAAAGAAGAGCTCCACCTCAGGCGGTCACAGTTACTGATGTTTCTGGGAGCCTCAGGGGTAACTGCTGTGTGAATGTGTATCCTCTGTCCAGCCCCGTCGTGCCTGCATTCAGGAAGGCCTGGCCCCTGGTGTGCACTAACAGCATGCTCAGACTTACTCTCCTGGTGCCCTTTTGGGTCAGGACTTGGAGAGGGTCAGGGGTTGGCAGGACGTGGGTCAGCCAAAGGGATTCCTCCAGTCGCGTCTGCACGCTGCGGGAGCTTGTGGCTGGGTGCACAGCCAGCCACAAATGCATCCTTTTCTCTCGCTCCATAGCTGTCGGAGGTGAGAAGGAACTACATACGTTGATACGGACATCAAAGACGTTAAGCGACTAAAGTCAGTCGCAAAGCAGTATGTACAATGTACTCTTATTTAATAACACGTATATTATACACCTAGGAAAGACATGCGAGAATAGACACAGAATATTACTATGAATTCTCTCTGGGGTAGAGAGCTGTGGTGAGTATGTGGATAAAGGGACTTAGCACTTTCTAAGTTATTAATTTTGGTAATGTTGGAGTTTTATAACAATGAAAATGTCTTTTGAAATCATGAAAAAACTTTAAAGAAGCGTTAAATGTGAAAACATCTCTTAGTTTTCATCATTTGGAGGGACTTACTTCCAAGACAAGTGGTCTACAGACAAAGAGACACTCCTTATATGGCCCTGATGGATATACATTTTGCTTCTATTTCTCACTGTAGGCCTGCTTCCTCACAAGTGTACAAAGGAAAGAAAAAGGTACAATATCCTATTGACCATGTTAAAATATTAGAAAAAATTGAAATAAGTAAATGACCAGTAGGGGTGCAGAAAGCACAGACTTAAAATTTACTTTGTGCCAGGCACTTCCTTTAGTTCTAGGGTTTTTACAAATGTTATATTATTTTAATTCTTATAACACCCCGTGTTGGTTAGGTATTCTACAGATGAAAAAAGCGAGACACAAAAAACATATATTGTATTAGTTTTAAAGAATCAGCTATAGGCCTGTTACACTACAGCACAAAAAGTATACTATAAAGTCAGTTCATTAGAGAAAACCTAGAAAAAGTAAAAGGAACCCTGTAGGTTTGAGACAATTTTAAAAATTATGCACACAGTGAATCATAATCTAAAGGTTTTAAGTCACAAAATATGTAAAGGTAACCACAGATTAGATTTAATACGCTCATTTTAATTCAGATCAGAAAGTCAGAGTTCAATGAAGTCATAAATGAGCAACCACATGGCACACAATGAATGCACCCACAAAAATGTTTCTTGCTGGATTGCAGTCAGCCACTGGAATTTTGCTGTCAGTACCACCTAGATATTTCCCAGCTTAATATTTTAGAAGTTATGAGTACTCTTGACTTTCATTTTTATTTATGTATTTATTATTTTTTTAGACCATTACTTAGCAGAATGGAGGTTCCACAAGGTTGGATACTTGTATCTGAAGTATCTAGAACAGTGTCTGAAACATAGTAGGCACTCAATAAATGTTTATAGAATAAACTTAGGTTAATAAACATTTAAAAGTAGCTTGAGCTTTGTTCTCTTACCACATCAGTGGCTTAATAACTGGATCAATCTAAAATACCTATAAGTTAATCAAACCAGCACAGAATTCTACAGCAATATAATAATTCACAGCCGTCAGCCACTGATGTTTATAAAGAGGAAATCTCCCTAAGATTTACCTTTTATGACAGTGGGCAGCCGTGGTATTTAAAGATGGCATCATAGGAGACCCCTGAACTGCCACCCTCCCACAGACACACCAAATGAACAGCTACACACGCAGTAATTCCCTCTGTAGGAAATTCAGAAACTAGCCAAGGGGCTCCTACGCAGTGGGAGAATGAGAAAACGCTCACATCAAAACGGCAGGAGAGGCTGAGACGCACTCGCCATCGCCATAAACCCCAGTCCTAGCACACAGCAGGGACCTCCAACTCCCAGCTTTTCCCTGTGAGGCTAAGGGTTTGAACCCCATTTTTAGTGCCCCAATTTTTAAGACTCCCACCAGAGGGATGCCCCCCACCCCGAACACCTAGCTCTGAAAGCCGCAGGGCTTGCATCCGTGAGCCCCACATACTACAGCAAACACAGAAGCAGGTATTAGCAGGCGTGAGCACTGGGCCTCCACTCACCCATCGCCCGTGTCCAGGCAGAAACGCCCGTCTTCCCGACCTTTCCTGAAAGGGTTCTATTTGTGTACTTTAAAAGCTGCTGCCTGCCAGTCACGCCTCTAATTTTTAGCATCCAGCTAGGGAGTGACTGCAGTTCTCTCCTGAGACCACAGAAGCCGGTGGACGCCTCCCCTGGCCTCTCCTTCTGGCCTACTCCAGTTTGCCAGTATCTGCCTCAGGAAGCTTTTATACACATCTGGTGCCCCAGCTTTTGAGGCTGCTGCTTGACAGAAAAACCCCTGGATCACCTGGCTCTGACAGCCAGTGGGGCTTTCAATCAGGAGTCCCACAGGCCTGTAGCAAAGAAAGAAGTTCATAATGGGTTCCGGACCCCATAGCCCCCTCCCCCACTCCATGGCTGTATAACTGGGCCCAGTACAGAGGGGACAGGTGAAATTCCCACCTCCCAGTTTCTCCTGGGATGGGGCCTAATGACACACTTTCCCCACTGCTCCTAAACTGGACCCTGTATCTACGAGCTGACTGTGACCCTCCCCCTGGGACACTGGTCAGTCTGGGCACATATTCAACCACTGGGCGCCACTAAAAACAGGGAAAGTGATTAGACAATCACAACCAGAAGCCAAGGCTGGGCTGATTGATGACGTTCATCTCCCACACAAGATCAGTCTGTCAAGACTGGGGTAGGAGGCTGTTCATCTAACACACAGAAACCCACACAAAGAGTCAAGGAAAATGAAGAAACAAAGTAATATGTTCCAAACAAAAGAACAAGATAAACTACCAGAAACAGATCTTAATGAAACAGACAACCTAGAAGAAATAGTTAGATTACTAGAAACATACAACCTACCAAGGCTAAATCAGGAAGAAATAGAAAAGCTGAACAGACCAATTACTAATAAAGAGATAGAATCAGTAATCAAAAATCTCCTAACAAACAAAAAAGTCCAGGACCGGAAGGCTTCACTGGTGAATTACACCAACATTTAAAGAATAAGTACCAATCCTTCTCAAACTCTTCCATAAAAAGAACAGAAGAGGAGGAAACACTTCCAAACTCATTTTATGAGGTCAGCATTACCCTGATATCAAAACCAGATAAGGACACCACAAGAAAATAAAAGTACATATGCCTGATGAATGTAGATGTAAAAGTCCTTAATGAAATCCCAGCAAACTGAATTCAACAGTACATTAAAAGGGATCATACACCATGATCAAGTAGGATTTATTCCAGGGATGCAAGGATGGTTCAACATCTGCAAATCAATCAATGTGACACACCACATTAACAAAAGGAAGGATAAAAATTATACGATCATCTCAATAGATGTAGAAAAAGCACTTGACAAAATACACACACTTTCATGGTAACAACTCTCAACAAAGTGGATATAGAGTGAATGTACCTCAATGTAATAAAGGCCACAAAACAAGCCCATAGGTAACATCATACTCAGTGGTAAAAGACTGAAAACTTTCCCTTTAAGATCAGGAACAAATTATGATGCCCACTCTTGCCAGTTTTAGTCACCTTAGTATTGGAAGTCCTAGCCAGAGCAATTAGGCAAGAAAGAGAAATAAAAGTCATCCAAATCAGAAATGAAGAAGTAAAACTGTTACTATTTGCAGATGACATATTATATATAGAAAACCCTAAAGACTCCACCAAAAAACTGTTGGAAATAATAAATGAATTAAGCAAAGTTGCAGGACACAAAATAAATATTCAAAAATCAGTTGTGTTTCTATATACTAACAATCTATCAGAAAGAGATATTAAGGAAAAAATCCCATTTACAATAGC